CCTAACCCTAACTCTATCCTTATCCTTAACCCTAATCATAACCTTATCCCTAACCCAAATTCTATCCTTATCACTAACCCTAATCCTATCCTAATCCCTAACCCTAACCCATACTCTATCCTTATCTCTTTCCCTAAACGTAACCCTAACACTAATCCTAATACTAACCCCAACACTATCTTTATCCCTAACACTAACCCTAACCCTATCCTTATCCTTATCCCCAAACTTATCCATATTCCCTAACGCCTGTGTTCAGTAAACTGCGGCTCTTTGGCCCCTTGAGTGTGGCTCTTCCTAAGCCTTAGGAGCACCCTAATTAAGTTAATAACAATGTACCTCCCTATATAGTTTAAGTTTAAAAAATTTGGCACTCAAAAGAAATTTCAATCGTTGTACTGTTGATATCTGGCTCTGTTGATTAATGAGTTTGGCGACCACTGCTAACCCTCACTCTAACCTTGTCCCTAACGCTAACCCAAATCCTAACTCTGCCCCCAACAGGGTGCTCCCTCACCCAGGGCCTGGGTCTGGGTCTGGGTCTGTGTCCAGAGCACCCAGGGGGCCCAGGGCGGATCCCGACCCCGGCCCAGCACTGACCCGGCACAGAAACAAGACCCGGCTCCCTTGCCCCATGACCTGTCCCCGCCCTGGGCTCTCTCAGCCCCAGGAGCGGGGGACAGGCGAGTCCTCTGGCTGACAGGGTCTGGCATGAGCCTGTCCTGTCCTCGAGCCTGTGCTGACCCTCCTCTCTCTGCAGGAGACCGAGGGGAGAAGGGCGCTCGTGGAGAGAAAGGTGAGGCCCTCCCGCCCTCCCCAGGGGTGGCTTCCGGGACCCTGAACACAAGGGGGTTCCCAGGGTGTGGAGCAGGGGCTGGGTGGAGAGCAGGCCCTTCCCTCTGCGGGAGGGTGTGGAGGGCGGGGTGGGGACCACACTCCTCTCTGAGCCTGTGCAGCCCATCCCTCCCTTCCCGGCCTCGGACCCCTGAGCAGGGCCGGCCCCGTCCTCCCGGGACTCTGCCTGGGGCTCGAGGAAGTTGGACAACGATTAAAACACCACGTCGGCCAGAGGCTGTGAGCCAAGCTGTGGGCACAGACGATGAGCAGATGTGGAACATGTGGCCTGAACTACCCATGACACGCGTGTGACCCTCACACATGTACACGCTCCACGTGCGGGTGCAGAGTTGATGACACAGAAACCTTCTCCGTTCCCCGCACAAAGTTCAGGAAGTCAGAGAAGGGCCCGGACGTGCACACCCTGGTGACCCCTCTCTGGACCCGAGACCGTCACCCCCCCCAGGCTCACCCCACTGTGGTCCGAGGTGCAGACGCCCCTTCGCTGCCCTCCCCACCGAGCAGCCCGCTCTCCCCGTGTCCCCGAGGCTGCCCTGGGCCCAGGAGGCAGCTGAGGCTCAGACTCCGCCTCCCGGGAGCACAGCCAGGGGCCTCCCCAGGGGCAGGCTGGGCCTTGCTGGGGGACCAGCCTCCTATGGAAGCATCTAGAAGGGCCTCCATGTGCTCCTGGTGCGGAGGGGCCAGGGCTTGGCCATCCCGCCTCTCACGGGTGTTTCCTCTCCCCCAGGAGCGTCGTGGGAAGCTGAGCGATGTGACACAGGTGGGCGACCAGCCGGGTCCGGTGCCCAGTTTGGCCTGAGGTTGGGGGGTGCCAGGCCCTCCCTGAAGGGAGCATTGGCCTGGGGTCCCCCATGCAGCCCATCAGCCTGCAGGCCCAGAGGCCCCGCCCACTGCCTCACTACTGGCAAATCACATGGGACAGCACTCAGCCCCGCCCTCCGCTCCTGCCTTAGGAACCCCAATGACAGTCCTCCTCTCTTGCCCCAATTTATTAGAACCCCAATGGCCGGTGCCCTGGGACCAAGGTGGGGGCGGCCTGGCAGAGGGTATGATGTCACAGCTGGTGGCCCTGGTGGGGTCTCTGTCCAGCCCTGGAGCCTCCTGCCCACGCAGACCCCACTGTCCCGCCCTCCCTCCCGCCCGGGGGCCTCCACGTGCCGCTTCCCTTCCCAGGACCTCGGAGCTGCAGGGAGCTGGGCACCAGGGGCCACACCCTGAGCGGCTGGCACACCATCTACCTGCCCGACTGCCGGCCGCTGACCGTGCTGTGCGACATGGACACGGACGGCGGGGGCTGGACCGTGAGTGCCGGCGTCGGGAGGGCGGTGCGGTCCGGGGCGGGGCTGCCGGGCCCGGACCTCGCAGACCAGGCTCCACCCCGAGGACCCGCGCTCCGGGGCCCTTGTCACTGTCCAGGCCCCTGTGTCCGGGGCTGCCCCTTCCCAGGGGACGGAGAGAACCCGACGGGGTGGCTGAACTCGACCCTGGGCCCGACCCGAGGGAGCCCCGTGCCTCCAGCTGTGGGCTCCGGGCTGTGGCCTCCCCTCTCCCAGCTGCCATGTCCTCCTCGATCCCATGTGGGCTCCCGTCTGCCCCCCCCCCCCCCGGGTCTGGGCTGTGGGCTGGGCGGTGCTGGGCGGCAGCGCCGTCTCCCCTCCCCCAGGTGATCCAGCGCAGGGTGGACGGCTCCGTGGACTTCTACCGGGACTGGGCCGCCTACAAGCGGGGCTTCGGCAGCCAGCTGGGCGAGTTCTGGCTGGGCAACGACCACATCCACGCCCTGACCGCCCAGGGTAGGGCCCGGGCCGCGGCCTGGGGGTGGGGGCAAAACCCACCTGCCCTGACTTCCAACCTGGGCCACCTGGATGGAGGCCACTTCTCCGCCCCACCACCTGCTGCCCCTGAGGACAAGAAGGTCCCAGAGGGAGGGGTGGCATCAGGGCCAGAGGAAGTGGGTTTGGGGGGCAGACCTCCTCTGGTCACAGCCCCTGGCATCTCAGAGGCCAACCTGGGGAGAAACGGAGGCCCTAGTCAGGGTTAGGCCCAGTGCCCAGCCCTGACCTCGCCGCCCACCGTGCCCGTCCCTCAACACACAGGGGAGATGGCCCCTTCCCGCCAGGCTGTGGTGACCCCCCCTCCCCCCACGGGAACGCTGAGGGCCCCTTCTCTCTGGGGCTGGGGGTTTGGCTCAGGACCCTGGGATCATGTGCCCCCACCCCTCAGCGACTGGGACTTTCTCTGGGACCTCGAGGAAAGTCCTGGGTGCCCAGTGCAGGTCCCCTGAGCGTCACCCACGTCCTGGCAGCTCAGGGTCCCTGCTCTTGGGACTGAGGCCCTGCCCCCCGCAGGCACCTACGAGCTCCGTGTGGACCTGGTGGACTTCCAGGGCAACCGCTACTTTGCCAAGTACCAGTCGTTCAGGGTGGGGAGCGAGGCCGAGAAGTACAAGCTGGTCCTGGGCGCCTTTACTGGAGGCAACGCCGGTGAGTGTCAGCTGCGTGATGGGTGGTGGGAGTCAGGTGTCGGCATGTGAGAGCGTCTGGGTGGGGTCCTGGCTCTGTGTCCTGGGGCCTGTGCAGGGCGTGTCCTCACCACGTTCCTCCATCCACACGTTGGGATAACCCGCCTCCACCTGAATGCGCCCATGACGAGGGCGGACACACCGGCTACAAAGTGCAGGCCCTGAGCGTCTCCCTCCTGACCGCCCGCATTGGAGCAGGTGGACAGGATGCCCGGGGAGCACCGCCCATTGTGCACGTCCCTCCCGTGGGGCCCGAGGGACCTGGACGTCTCGGGCAGTGGCCTCCCCTCTACGGGGCAGAGTGCCCGTTCCCTGGCGGGCACAGAGCAGATGGGGGATACTGGGGATCTGCTGACTGAGCGTTCGCTGGCCTGCGCGGCACCATCAGACTTCACAGCGCAAGAATCGCAGCTGGACAGCTCCCGCCGGACCTGGTGCCGGCACCTCCTGGCACTGAGTGTAAGCGGCCCCGCTTCTCCCCGGCAGGTGACTCCCTGACCCAACACAACAACTCCCTGTTCTCCACCAAAGACCAGGACAACGACGGGACCTCCGAGAACTACGCTGAGAAATACCAGGGCGCCTGGTGGTTCTACAGCTCCCACTGGTCCGACCTGAACGGGCGTCACCTCGGGGGCTCCGCCGGGAGCTCTGGGAACGGCATCTACTGGTGGTCAGCGCAGACGAACTACTACAGCTACAAGGTGGCCGAGATGAAGATGCGGCCCTTGTAGGGCGGTTGGCGGTCTGGAGCATCTCTGAGCAGGTCTCCCGCCCCCAGCACGGGCACAGGAGGCCTCCAGGCAAAGTCAGAGCTCACCCTGGTTCCATCCCCAGCCTGTCAGGGACCCTCAGCTTTGAGACCCTGAGCGACTCCCGCCTTCCTCTCCCGCCTGCCAGGGTGAGGGTGACCCAGACCTTGCGCACCACACGCATCCTCAATAAAGCTTCTCCTCGCTCCACAGGCACACCATGCCAGTCTATAAATATTTCTCTTTTCTGTGACCAGCACAGCTAGAGAGCAGAAGGGAGTCCTGAGTAGGGGCGATGGGGAATTGAAAAAATGGAAGAGACAGACACAAAGACAGTAGGAAAAGCTGGGACAGGGTGGGTCAGCTGCCCTCAGATGGAGAGACAGGGACCCAGAGCAGATACAACGTGTTTATTTTATACAGTAAGTTACCAGGAAGTTTTACTAAAGTTTAAGGTAAAGAAAATATGTGCATTCTTGTGGCTTCTTTGTAATCGTCACTTCTGGATGGGTCTGGATAATCGTGTCTGTTCCTGGTGCCTGGCTGGAACTCAGGTGCCTGGTGCCTGAGCTAAAGGTCAGACTGACAACACACCTGCCTCTGGCAAGGTATGTTTCCAGGTCATGGCTCTGCCAGGCGCCACTGGATTCAGATGACAATCAGCTCAGGGACCTTTCTCAGGTGCTCTCTACATCTCCCCCTTCTGTATATTCTAAATGTAGCTTGGACATCTAATTGAAGCCTTTGGACTTGAGATCTCAGGAGCTTGCTGCTGACTAAAAGAAAGCAGGGTACATTTTGTGGTACATAAAGGAATCCTATTAGGTGCCAAGTGGTGTGTTTTAACATTTTCCATGGATTAAATCCTTTTAAATCATCCAGCAATTCTTTTGCTATTTTCACTGGAGATATAATTTCATCACGACTATTCAGAATGGCTTGCACATGTTTGTGTAGCCATATGAGGTCTATACTGATATTAATATGATGCCACATTCCCTGTAGGTGCATCTTGATATTACTCCAGATAGAGAACTGTCATAGCAGGGCTGAAGTCACACAAATATATGTGAAAGCAGCATGGCATTGCAGCTGCTGTCTCATCTTGACACTTTCTAATTGATTGCCTAGTCTTATTAGCACAGCTTCCAGAGCATTTAGCTTTGTTTCTAGCCTTTTGTCTATATCTTCTTGATCGTGAAATGTAGCTGAGGTGTTCTGAGCCAAATCATTTGCAAACTTTGCATTCTGGAGGCTCTGGGTCAATGGAAGAGAAGCAGGTACAGCAGATGCGATGACAGCAACGAGGGTAACAAGACCAGAACTAATAAGCCCACAGTACCCTGTTCCTGGGGGAGCTATTGTGCAGTTCCTGCAATGCCTGGAGGCGTGCATCATGGTACCATCTCCCTGTTATGTGGGTAGGAAGCATAATAAAGGAAGGCTGCTTTGAAATTAATATATCTCCATTCAGGTGATGCCTGGAAACACAGCTGGTAAGGTCACAGTGATGGCATTGGACAGCACAATGGGAGTCCAATCTGGTGATATTCACCTTTCCAGTCACCAGTACATATGGAGGCTGGACACAGGCTGGTAATCCATGGCAAGGGATCGATGAACACGCTCCTTTAATATCAGCTAAGAAAGAGCCAGTCAAATTAAGAAACTCAAGGGCAACAGCTAAACTCCACAGACCTTTCTGTAAACCTCCTGTTTCTGGGGTCAGGGCGTTACCCACAACCCTCCTTGTGACATAGGCTCGTGATGGGGACGCTTAGCATCAAGCCTGTGAGACCAATCCAATACATACACGTCAGAGCCAGAAATAGTATGTCTCACTGGTACAGGGTTGGCGCAATCTTGCCATTGAGGAAATGCTGCCAGCTCAGTAGTGGTGCTATTAGGGCAGGAGGGGAGCAGGGGATGCCGATCAGACAGCCATTGTGTGGCCTTAGGGAACCTCAGTTTATAACTGTCTGAATATATTTTCCCACATTCCAGGGGCCTGCAATGTTAGCAATGTCTGTGCCCCCACAGGATGTCTTATTTTCTTGTCCAAGCTGCAAACATCCTGAAGTCCCCCTTTTAGGTAAACAAATAGGGAGCTCCCCACTGAAGCTATCTACACTAATAAAAGAGAAACATGGTAATTAGGGTACAACCACTACCCTTCCCATTGGCTAATCAGGGCTATATGCAAATTAACTGCCAGCCAAGATGGTGGTTAATTTGCATATGTAGCCACAATGCTGGGAGGCGAAAGGGGAAGGAGGGAAGAAGCCGCCTGCCTCTGACTGCATCAGAAACCCAGGTGGCAGCCAAGAGCCAGAGAACCGAGCTGCCTTTGCTCTGAGAAGCCAGGCCGCCTTTGCCGGCTTCTGTGATAGGAGAACCTGGTCGCCTTTGCTGGCCCTGGGCCAGTAATCGGAGAAGCTGGGTGGGGCAGGGAAGAGGTGGATATCTGCCTCTTCCCTGCCCCGCCTGGCTTCTCAGATCACTGATCACCAGTGATGGGAGAACACCCAGAGGCGGGGCTAGAGGCCGGCTGCATAGCTGCCTGGGAACACCATCCGGTCCCCGGGGAGATGCAGCCAGGCCCCAGCAGGATATCCAGAAGCCGCTGGGGCACGCGATCCGGTGACTGGGCTGAGGAGACCCAGGGGCCCGGGCTGCATCGCAGCTGGGGCACACGATCGGGTCCCCGGGGGCGATGCAGCCAGGCCCCAGAAGGAGACTCAGGCGCCAGGGCTGCATCGCTGCTGGGGCACGTGATCCGGTGCCTGGGCTGAGGAGACCCAGAAGGAGACCCAGGGGCCTCCCAAAAGGAGAGTCTCCGTGGTCAGATGGCGCGGTGTCAGGACAGGAATAAAGACCCGAGGTGACTCAGATGCCTGGCCACAGGGTTAGACCAGCCAGCAGGGCCTTTCAGTTGGGACTGGGATGGGGGTGGGGCGAGGGAGGCAAGCCGGACATAGAGAACTACAACTCCCAGGAGGCTTAGCGGCCGGGGCCTGGGTGCCTGGCTGTGAAATTGGATGGGCTGTGTCGTTTTGCAAAGCCACTTTAAACTAGAGGCTTGCAAGGTTGGAAGTTCTGCGCCGGGAACCAGGGAGAAATGGAGCTGGAGCAGAGAGAGGGTCCATGGCAGTCGTGGGCTTTGAGAAGTTCTCAGGTCACATCCTGGAGAGCGAGCTTGAGACCAAAGTGGAGTTCGTGTCTGGGGGTCTGGGCAGCTCCAGCCTCCAGGAGCGAGACGAAGAGGAGGAGGCAGCCCGAGGCCAGCAACAGCAGTGCCAACGGGAACTCAATCGCAGGAAGTACCAGGCGCTGGGTCGGCACTGCAGGGAGATCAAGCAGGTGAACGAGCGGGTCCTGAACAGGCTCCATCAGGTACAGAGGATAACACGGAGACTCCAGCAGGAGCGGAGGTTCTTCAGAAGGTGCTAGACTCCTAAGGCGATGACTACCGGGCCAGCCAGTTCACCATCATACTGGAGGACGAGGGCAGCCAGGGCACAGACGCCCCCACCCCAGGCAACGCTGAGAACGAACCTCCAGAGAAAGAGGGGCTGTCCCCGCCCAGGAGGACGCCAGGGCCCACAGAAGCCAGCAGCCCGGCCCCTGGCGAGGGGCCCAGCTGGTGGAAGAGGCAGCGAGCGCAGCGAGCACCACAGGGAGGGCACCAGGTGGGAGTCCCGCTGACTCCGGAGCTGGCCCCCGTGCAGATAAAGGTGGAGGAAGACTTTGGCTTCAAAGTGGTCGAGGCTCTGGACTCAAGTTGGGTTTCTCAGGGGCCAGACAAGCCGCTGCCCTACCCCACCCGAGCCAGCTCCCCCTTTGACTGACCCCCCAATAAACGGATCCCATGCTCTCCTCGGCAAAAAAAAGCTTATAGAGGCATGCTTATAGGATCAAATAGTATAAATATAGATGTAACAGGACAATAAAAAGAGAACCTGGCTATGATGATTACCTGAACGCTGCCTCTGTGTCATTCCTTCTTCACCGACTCCATCCACACCTTTGGGAACCCCTGTACCTGCTGGGCAGGACCCCAACATTCCTCTTCTTATAAGAACTTCAGTGAAATGGGCTAAGGGTCCCACTGGAACTGCCTCAATTTAATGTAATCCCCTCTTTAAAGATCTTATCTCCATATACAGGTACATTCTGAGGTTCTGGGGATTAGGATTTTAACATACACTTTGTTGATTACCCAAATCAGCCCTTAACAACCAACATGTTCCAGAAAGTATATTCCTACAGGGTTATTTACCAAACATTCAGAAGTATTTTTAAAAGAGCTAAGCCCCTCGCCCACCGCGTGGGCCCCTCCCGGCGAAGAGCGAAGGCCTGGGTTCCGGGCACCGGAGGAAAACTGGTGCCAGCAGCCAGGGGAAGGGGCCCCTAAGGGGCCCCAGATTGTGAGAGGGCACAGGCTGGGCTGAGGGACCCACCCGAGTGCACAAATTTTTGTGCCCTGGGCCTCTAGTTATAAGTATAATCCCCTTGGGAAGAAGGAGTTATGTGCTTGTCGGAGCTGCCCCCAACCAGGTTGGTGTTGTTAGTAAACACTGGCACTGATGCTCCGGTCCAGGTGGCTGGACGGACCACAGCGCCCAGAGGCTGGGGACGGTCAGGCCTGGGAGGCGCTGTCCTGGCACCATTCGTTAGAGAGAAAACTGAGAAAGGCCCAGCCAGTGGGGCTCAGGGGTTGAGCATCGACCTATGAACAAGGAGTCATGGTTTCATCCGGGTCAGGGCACAGCTCCGGGCTGTGGGCTCGTCCAGTGTGGGGGTCAGGAGGCAGCTGATCATCACTGATGTTCTCTCATCAGTGATGTTTCACTCTCTCTCCCCCTCCCTCCCTCTATGAAATCAATTAAAATAGCCTATTTAATAAAGAGGTAATAAGCAAATTGACCATCAAGCCCTCATGTCACAAGATGGCTGGCATATGTCGTCACAAGATGACCACTACCACATCATCACA